TCGGGGTTTTGGACATGATGACCAGGACGTGCATTGAAAGGGTTAATATATATATGCCATTCGGACTAGGCTCCCTCGTGCAGAATTTTCGAGAATTTTCCAAAGTTTGGCCTCTTATTTATCCTGATTTGAATCCTCTGAACTATTATGTCTCAAGCGTTGTCGAGAGGGAGACTAAACGGTGACCTAACAATATCTAGGGCTGTTCAAAGGTCGCAATGCTAGATGTAGTTGCTTGCCTCAACGAGAAGTACCTGATTTAGGCATCCCGTATCTTTTGAATACGCATCAAGGTTTCTTTTTTTTTCTTTTGTTTTTATGAAAAAAGCAGTTGAGGAAATAATTATTTTCTATTTTACTATGCCTACAAATATTTTTGAATATGTATTAACTTTTTATTAAATATCTGTATATTTAAATACTTTTAAATACTATCTATCTATCTATCTATTTCAGTCCGTTCATATCTATCTATCTATCTATTTCAGTCCGTTCATATCTATCTATCTATCTATTTCAGTCCGTTCATATCTATCTATCTATCTATCAGTCCATTCATATCTATCTATCTATCTATCTATCTATCTATCTATCTATCTATCTATCTATCTATCTATCTATCTATCTATCTATCAGTCCATTCATATCTATCTATCTATCTATCAATCTATCTATCTATCTATCTATCTTTCAGTCCATTCATATCTATCTATCTATCTATCTATCTATCTATCTCTCTCTCTATATATGTATATGTATATATATATTTCTGGTCCATTCATATCTATCTTTCTCTCTCCTATATATATATATGTATATATATATATATTCCATTCATATCTATCTATCTATCTATCTATCTATCTATCTATCTATCTATCTATCTATATATATATATATATATATATATATATTTCAGTCCATTCATATCTATCTATCTATCTATATATATATATATATATATATATTTCAGTCCATTCATATCTATCTATCTATCTATCTATCTATATATATATATATTTCAGTCCATTCATATCTATCTATCTATCTATCTATATATATATATATTTCAGTCCATTCATATATCTATCTATCTATCTATCTATATATATATATATTTCAGTCCATTCATATCTATCTATCTATCTATCTATATATATATATATTTCAGTCCATTCATATCTATCTATCTATCTATCTATATATATATATATATATTTCAGTCCATTCATATCTATCTATCTATCTATCTATCTATCTATATATATATATATATATATATATATATATATATATATTTCAGTCCATTCATATCTATCTATCTATCTATCTATCTATCTATCTATCTATCTATGTCTTCTTTCTTTCTTTCTTTCTTACTTTCTGCCTCTTTACATCAATAAGAATTCGTTTATCTATTTATATAATTGCATATATGTTTGTTTGGTTATATTGATTTTTGTGTGAGGTGGGGCGGGCATTTTACGTCTATCAAAACTATTTGGATTTTCCATCTGTTTATCCCTTTTCCCTGATGTCTTTTCCCTCCGCCTCCACCTCCACATTTTCATCCCCCTCCCTCTCTCTCCCTTTCTCTCTTTCTCTATCTTTTCCCTCGCCCTCTCTCTATCTCTCTTTACAGTTAATCATTTAAAAAACAAATATTTCCTCCATTTTCCTGATTTCTACTCTTACCCTCATCATCCCATCTTTTCTGGTTTTCATTACTGTGCCAAGTAAAAAGACGTTTTTAGTGATAGCGAACTAGAAAGTCCATTCACTGAACAGGGAACAAGAATAATAATAATGAGTACTACATGGGATCGAGTGGAAAAGGCGTACACCAATTTTTATGGGGGTATCACGTAAATAAAGCAATGGTGTAAATTGGTGATGCAGAAAGTTTGCTGCCTTCTATGCATGAGGAACTTCGAGGATTGCTGCACACTGTGAGGGAATGAAGAGATCAGAGGAAGAAGACGATGACATTCGGAGGAAATGCAAGAGAGTGTGACAGGGAGAGATATGATTGGAAATCAAGAAACGTATGGGGAAAGAAGAAAGAAAAAATGATTATGGGAGATGAAAGAAGATAATATATAGAGAATTACTAAAAGAGTAATAGGAAAAATAGATAGATAGAAACAGAATTATGGGAAAATAATTTGAAAAAAGAAAGAAAGAGAAATATGAGAAGTGATATTAGAAAAAAAAAGGAAAGAAAGAAAAAAGTAAGAAGAAAGCATGACATAGAATAGCCGAAACAGAATTACGAAAATAAAAGAGAGAGAATTATGAAAAGAGAATGAGAAAAGAAAGAAAGAAAGAAAGAAAGAAAGAGAAAATATATAAAAATGAAATAGAATAGCGAAAAGAGAATTGTGCAAAGAAAGAAAGAAAATTATCAGAAGAGAATGATAAAAGAAAGAAAGAAAGAAAGAAGAAAGAAAGAAAGAAAAAATATATAAAAATGAAATAGAATAGCGAAAAGAGATTTTCGTAAAGCAAAAAAGAGAATAATGAGAAAGAAAGAAAGAAAGAAAGAAAAGTGAAACAGAAGAGCGGAAAGAGAATTGCGAAAAGTAAGAAATAGAATTATGACGAAAGAAAGAAAGAAAGAAAGAAAGAAAGAAAGAAAGAAAGAAAGAAAGAGAAAATATATAAAAATGAAATAGAATAGCGGAAAGAGAATGTGCAAAAGAAAGAAAGAAAATTATCAGAAAGAGAATGATAAAAGAAAGAAAAGAAAGAAAAGAAAAAAAAGAAAAAAAGAAAACAGAATTATAGAAAGAGAAATAAAAAAAAAAAACAAAGAATGTGAACTACTACAAAATAAAGAAAGAATTACTAAAAGAAAGAAAAAGAATGACGAAAAGAGAAATGTGGAAAGAAAGCAACAAAGAAAGAAAAAAAGATTATGGGAGATGAAAGAAGGAAAAATATAGAGAATTACGAAAAGAGTAATGGGAAAAGAAAGAAAGATAGAAACAGAATTAAGGGAAAATAATTTGAAAAAAGAAAGAAAGAGAAATATGAGAAGTGATATTAGAAAAAAAAGGAAAGAAAGAAAAAAGTAAGAAGAAAGTATGACATAGAATAGCCGAAACAGAATTACGAAAATAAAAGAGAGAGAATTATGAAAAGAGAATGAGAAAAGAAAGATAGAAAGAAAGAAAGAATGAAAGAAAAAAAAAGAAAAAAGAAAGAAAAATATAAAAATGAAATAGAATAGCGGAAAGAGATTTGCGAAAAGAAAGAAAGAGAATAATGAAAAAGAAATGAGAATGAAAGAAAGAAAGAAAGAAAGAGAGAGAAAGAAAGAAAGAAAGAAAGAAAGAAAGAAAGAAAGAAAGAAAGAAAGAAAAGTGAAACAGAAGAGCGGAAAGAAAATTGCGAAAAGTAAGAAATAGAATTATGACAAAAGGAAGAAAGAAAGAAAGAAAGAAAAAAGAAAGAAAGGAAGGAAAATATAAAAAATGAAATAGAATAGCGGAAAGAGAACTGTGCAAAGAAAGAAAGAGAATTATCAGAGGAGAATGAGAAAAGAAAGAAAGAAAGAAAGAAAGAAAGAAAGAAAGAAAAGAAAACAGAATTACGAAAAGAGAAATGAAAAAAAGAAAGAATGAGAACTACTACAAAAGAAAGAAAGAAAGAATGACTAAAAGAAAGAAAAAAGAATTACGAAAGGAGAAATGTTGAAAGAATGCAACAAAGAAAGAAAACAAAAAGGCAAACGAATATCGAAAAGAGTGACTGGGAAAGAAAGGGTAAAGAAGAAAAAAAAAAAGAAAGTCCCAAATAAGAAGGATAAAGAATTTAGGAAAAGAAAAATGTAGAAAGTAAGAAAGTGAAGAAAGAAAGAAAAAAAAAGGAGGAAAAAAGTGCTAAATGAATTATGAAAGGAGACATGTGATAAGAATAGTATAACGTAAAAGAAGAAAAGACACATGGAAAAGTATGAATTAAAGAAAAGAAAGTAAAAAAAAAAAAATGAAAGCATTCGTTTCCATATATGTCTTTTATTCGTTTACGTTGTTCTATTCCTGCTTCTTGACTTTTGTTCTTGACTTCATATTCTTAAAACAAAAACCAAAAAGCTGGAATGACGAAATACTGAGTAAAAATGCCCAGAACGAAATCAATTTACAAAAAGATACCGTTTTCCTTCGATGAATCGATCTGTTTATGGCTAAAAGGTAACATTTCTAAATATTTGCCCTCTAGCTTACCTGGCTTAAAAATGCAATAAGACATAAACAAGTAAAAGCAATTACAATCGGCATTTTTTCTTGTATACTAAAGATTCTTTTTACGTGTGTTTGTGTTAGAATACGTTTTATTTAACTAAAATTTTAAAATATTTTTACTCTTAATTGCTAATAGACCATATTTCTTTTTAAAAACACATAAATGTAAGAGAATTACTTACATTATTTAAAATTATTTTTTCATATCAAATATAAGTATGTATATTACCAGCTCCCATTTTTAATTTTTTTTAAAATTCATTTTTAAATATTATTTAAGGGAAATTTTTGAAAATGACAGCAAAAAAGCTATTTCATTTTTCTGATTCAGTCAATTTTTATTTTTTATAAACTTAGTAATATATAGTTTCTCATGTATGCACAAAGGACATGGGTCATTTAATGACCTACATATTCTAGCCTTTCTTGTTAATTTCCATTTTACTGTAGATGTTTCATTGGATTCTTTTAAGTGCCAGAAATACTTTGAAAGCGATGTCTGATTTCTGTATTTATTTATCCTAAATGAAGTTTGGTGTTGATTGAACCGATTTTTGAACTCATGGCCTGTGCAACCTATATAGATTTTTATGTTTTATGAAATATATATACATTTTATATATATATATATAATGTATATACATTTCATATATATATATATATATATATATATATATATATATATATATATATATATATAGTGAAGAAATAACGGATCCTACAATTTAAATATTTTCTATTTTTTGAGATTATTTTTGTTCAATATTACAGCTAAATTCAGTGAGCTGCACGTAGAATAGGTTACCATTTTATCTTTAAACTTTGCAACGTAATTATCAGTGGGGATTGGGTGACCGCAAGTGTGTGGTATGTTAGAAGTAAATTCAAGCATTCCCCGGCTTTCTCCCCCAACTCAAATAACGTCATCATCTGAACATTACCGTTTCAATCTCTATTTACAAAGATTTCGTTTTTTTTTGTGTTCGTTTTCTTAAAACATCTTAACTTGTGCTGATTATTATTTTTTTTTAATTCTCAGTGTCGATCCAGACTGTAAGCGATCATGGTCCTCCGGATAACACTCCGCGAATTGCAACGACTTTAGGAATGATACCGTTGTTATCTCTTCAAAAATTTTGAGTTTTCCTTTTCCTAGACTGTACGCCAATCAAGGCTACAAAGCCCAGTCTGTCTTTCTATTTACCCATAGTTGGGAGGAAGAGATGGTTTCATATAATTCCCAAGTAAGTGAATGCAATTAACTTGACTGCAATTCGAACTCGGCTCTCCGATTCCTCAATCAGAGCCGCTATCCATTATTCCACCGAGCCTCCGTTGGACCGAATTTATTCTGTTATTTAACCCAGAATGCAATGAGAAAACTGAATTCCTGCTTTTCCAAGGTTTGAAAGTGAACACAAATGTCGAGGTGAGAAACTGAACTATGTTCCCTGATTCTCTTGTGTCTGCCGATAACCATTGCATAAACCGCACACCAGCTGAACTAAATATTATTATCATCAGAATCATGTTCATGCTCTCTATTTTTTTAAGTTCTCAATCAATGTCTGCTTATTTTCTTTCTCTTTTCTTTAATCGTAAAATAATTTTCTTTAAACGTAACATCGTTGGACTTCATTGTCATACACTCTACCTTACGGTTGGCTGCATTGTCATATCATCTACATTACCGTTGGGCTGTATTGTCATGCCATCTACCTTACCGTTGAGCTGCATTGCCATACCATTTAACATACCGTTTGGCTGCATTGTCATACCATCTACCTTACCGTTGGGCTGCATTGTCATACCCTCTACCTTACAGTTAGTCTGCAGTGTCATACCATCTACATTTGCCGTTGGGCTGCATTGTCATACCCTCTATCATAGCGTTAGGCTGCATTGTCATACCATCTACCTTACCGTTGGGCTGCATTGTCATACCTTCTATCATACCGTTAGGCTGCATTGTCATAACATCTACCTTACCGTTGGACTGCATTGTCATACCCTCTACCTTACAGTTGGTCGGCAGTGTCATACTATCTACCTTACCGTTCGGCTGCATTGTCATACCCTTTATCATACCGTTAGGTTGCATTGTCATAACATCTACCTTACCGTTAGGCTGCATTGTCATGCCCTCTACATTATCG